CCCCAAAACCCCAAAACCCCAAAACCCCAAAACCCCGTGATAGCTAATTTTTGACAATAATAATTAATTGAAAATAAAAATAAAGAATTTTCATCACTATTGATTTTGTTATAGTTGTTCTTCAAGATAGGCAAATTGCTCTGATCTCTTTCCAGTGCTTTACTTGGCTGATCTTTAACTAGCAGTCTCTACAACTGATGGATCTTCACCCTCAGCATAGAGTGGCTTGTCAGTTTGCATAACATCAGCGATGTCTCTGATACCCTCATCGTCAAGGAAAGCATCATGATAGTTCTATTTAGATTGTTGTTAAATGAAAAATATCTTACGCCTTGGGTACAGTTGATAAGATTCTTAAGTAGCTTAATAATGACTTCCTCATTGTTGCCCTTTGCTAGAGCCTTCATTGATGGCTTAACCAGGTAGAATTATTATTAGAGATAGTTGAAGCATATTTGAGCTATACATAAATAAGTTGAAATCGTTTATCTTACCATTAATCTTGTTCCAGTTGAGCATTCTCTGCTCTACTAGTGCTGATTTTTCGAGCTTGCAATCGACTTTCTCATCATAGAGGATGTTGAAGAGTTGTTGGAACAGGACTAAATTTATCATGAGTTTAATTGAAATAAATAGTACTGCCGTCTGCGAACTCCTTAGCAAAGTTTTTAACAGCTGGGACTCCTTTTTTGCCCAAAATTTCATTGACAAATTTCTTAATATCTAATGCCTCTACCATTGTTCTTATTTTTTTTGAGAAATAAAATTAAACTTTATAATTGTGATAATTATACTAATTGATATAATTTCAAACAAGACTTCGGCAGAATTCAGTATGGAACAATCGAATTTCAATATTTAGCTAAATAGCAATATCTAGGCCTAGCCATAACCCTTCTAAGCCTAACAACAATAGTAAAGAAACCTCTAATTTTAGTAGTAGCCCTCCTAAAATCAGTCATAGCAATAGCACCAGCCATAAAATGCCTCAAATCCCAATCAAAATTCAGCAGGCGCAGAGGCACATCTCAGTAGTCTGAAGGCATGCTTCAAGTAGGCAGCCAACTCTCTGACTTCTCTCTATAAATAATCAACATTTAGCTATAATATTGCCTACCAACAAGGGCGTCAAGATGCTTTTGAAGAGGTCTTTTAATGGTTTATGGCCTAGAACACGAATGATCAAGGAGAATTTAAAAATGTCTCAAAAGCAGAGTTTTTTACTTATATTCAGGAAAAAGTTAACAAATAGGTCATTGATACCCAGAAAGCTCATGATTACAATCAAGCATTTATTTAAAGCTTAATGCCCCCTCCTCAATAAATAAGACCTTCAAATATGAATGGAATGATGCAAGAGTAATTCATGGGAGTTAATCAAAATGCAGCTTCTGATTTGATAGAGCTCGCTGATAACGCTATTTAGGAAGAGACTGCCAATAATGGAGGACTTGAGATTGGGAAAAAGTTTAGCATTAATTTCAATGGGCTTAAGTTAAACGATAGTAAAAAGAGAATGAGAGGACCCACTTTTGGTAGTCATGTTCAATAAACTCACGATAATGTCCCTTAAAGATATGACAGTGCCATGATGCAGCAAGAAAACTACAATGAGGAGATGGAAATATCTCAGAATCAGCAGAATAACTCAGGCAACTTTAATTATAGCAACAATAATGAATAAGCATTTCCAAATGACAATAGAAAATTATTTAAGCCAAAGAGGCAATTTAAACAACCTCAATGAAACTACTACTTTTGTCAATATAGATAGTTACTTCTCTAATGTTCACATCAGTTAACAATATGATTTAACAAAAACTTATGCATTAATTAATTAGACAATCACTATCTTTCATAATATCTGTCTTCATGGGGTTTTGGGGTTTTGGGGTTTTGGGG